TCTTTAAAAAAAAAAAAAGAAATGCCCTGGGTCTTAGGCAGCCAACCTAGTACAAACCAAAGTCTGTATACTTATATCCAAATATTTAAAAAATATGAATCAAGTTAATGAAATGCTAAATAGAATAGGTTCTATCTTCCTACCTTGGCATATATATGTGTGTAGTGACCTGAAAGGCTGGGTTTGAGGATCTATTCTCCCAGATTCTTGGAGTTCCATGCTGGAAGGTAGTGGTTTTTGTAGAGCTGGTTCCTGGCCATACCCCCTGCCCTGTGCCTCTGAAACTATATGGCGAGAGGTACATGAGAGGCAGTGAGCAGGCGTGTGGACACCCCAGGTCACCTGCCCTTGCTCAACGCTCCCCCTTCCCTTGGGTCTTGGGTCAGAAGGTGCTCACTCATACCAGTGGTGTGGCCGCCTGTGGGCTGACAGATGTAAGGAAAAGGCTAGCTAGTCCTAGGAAGTGTGTTTGGGGGGAGGTGTAGGGAAGGAAATGTGAGTCCTGGGTCCTGGATCCTGGAGTGAGGTCTAGAAGTGGAGTGTGGACTCTGGTGGGAAGGTACCCTTGCAGATGCAGACTTGTATATTGAGGGCACAGTGAGGAGGGGACCAGAGTGGGATCTTGTAAAGTATGGATTACTGAGCAGTTCAAAGAATGACTTGCTCACTTGGGGTTACAGAACCTTTCCTTCAGTAGGGGTAGGAAATCCTCACAGTGACAGGACACCCACTTGGTCCAGGGACTTTGCAAAGGGAAAGGATTTCAGCAGGTGGGTGGGTGCTCTGCATATGACGTCACCAGGGCTGCCACTGGGATTTCATGCTGCTTTATCCACTGAATTATCCCTCAAACTGCAAGACAGCCTTCAAGGCCCTTCTCAAGAATATCACATCCAGTACAAATAATCCTGATAATACATATTAGCATATTATAACTCAAGACTACTTTACAATGGTGTTTGGGATAATAAAACTCAAAATACTATGAAATATACTAGAATTGGTGACTTTGCATGAGTTGACACAGGGCCATTTTGTATGGCAGCACAGGTTGTGCACTGCACAGTTTCAGGTGGTGTCATTCACATAGACTACAGTCTAAATGGCGCCCCAGTTAGCATGGAATGCTCAGCAGTTTGCAGCATCCCTGAATCGATTGTACCTAACCATCTACTTAATGTTTCCCCTGCTGAAATAGATATTCCATTAGTTGAACTGTGGTTAAAATTCTGATTTGAACATTAAGGCCATTTTTATTTGGTTCTTCATTTAGACTACCTTTGATAGGGAGTACATGAACAGAAACTTGGCTCTAGTTTCCCTTTATCTTAGAGGGTATTTTTCTGCTGAAGGGTTTAGAAGTGAAATGAGAGCTGAATAAGCTTTACAGTTTACAAGCAAGTAAGTGAAGGCTAAAAGCATAGGAAGTAGCTTTGGAAATTTATTTTGTAATCATGCAAATGTTATATCAAATTTTAATTTTATTTCCAAGTAGGCTTTCCTATAGAGACCTGGTTAGTTCTGATTGGAGAGTAAGTAGCAGATGGTTTTGTCACCAGTTCTTGTTGATGATAATTTAAAAAAAATAAAAAAGTTTTTGCAAATTTTCATGAGAATATTTCAAAACAGAGTATTCTGATCATCTTGGTGACTAAAGAATCATTCCCCACCCCCGCCCCCCAATTAAGTGGATATACTTTTGCATTTGTCTCTGATATAACATTTATGTGTAATCTCTTATACATAAATCGTTTCAATAGAGAAAGTACATTTATTTTTCTGTGTTGTATGAAGGCGAAGAAAGGGTTCGTTTGTTCAGCCTTGGCAACCCCCCTCTGAACACCAAGTGGAGAGCAAAATTGTGCATTAGATATCATTATTTGGGCTGGTTAATAATGTGTTTGTGAAAGCAAGTGGACCTGCCAAAGTACACTTTGAAAGTAATACCCAAGCCATCGGAGGTTTTATCTTTTGTTGTTTAAAGTGGTATGGAGATAATCTGTCTCTGGAATAAAAGTACCAGGATTGCAGTTAAAATGGCCAGCTGTATACTAAAAATAGTTGTAATGCATTGATTGCTGAAGTTTTCCCAGCTATATAGTGATTTGTAATTTCTCCTCATTCATTTCTTTTCTTTGGAAGGGGTGGAGGTTTGGGGACTGGGGAGGGAAACAGTTCACATGAAGCAAACCAAGAATTTCAGGTTTCATGTTCCTGTCCTGTAAAACAAACTATAAACCTATAAAACCTTCAATATATATGTAACTCACTTTAGTGGGGATACTTAGTATTAATTCTGAATGCATACTTACAAATCTTTGCTTTGTTTTGCCTTTTAGGTGCCAACCCAAATTATCCTGATGTAATTTATGAAGGTAGCTATCATGTTGTCTTTATTTTGTATTTTTTTTTTCAAAATGTTTGTCTAAAATGAAACAAATCAACTAAAAGAGGACCTTTAAGCTCAGTTAAATATACACTTTAAGCATTACATGGGCCACAATAATATTTCAAAAATCATTCAATATTGATGGCTGTTTTCCCTTGATATTTACAGTGCTTGTAAATAGCATTTTCTCTCTCATGTTCTGTTCTTGGAAGTAGTAAATCCATTCCACTGTAATAGACATTTTGTTTCTATAATTGGGAACTAATTACCTGTTTAAAAGCCATGACTACCAAGAAAAGGGAGGTGTATCAGTTTCTGGCTTTGAGAGTAAACCCAATTCAAAATTCTGTTTCTTGTATAATAAGGAAGTTTGGCTCACAGACAGGAGCCTCCAAAGTAGGGCATGTTTTTAAGTTTGGTTAACCAGTAGCTCTACCATGTCATCAGGCACCCAAGTTTTTCATCTTTATACCCCCCTGCATACTGTACCCACTTCCCCGAAGGCTGACTCCTCTCATGGTAGTAAGATGATGCTCACAGAGGGGCCGCTCTCACGTTGTTAGGAGAAATGGAAGAGCTTCTGAAGGCATTCCAGAGGAAAGGGAACTTTCCCAGAGATCTCCATCGGCCCTCCTTGAATCTGATTCACGACCCAGTGGGTCATAGTCCATTCTTGACACCATTACTGATAAGAAGGTTGGATTAACCCTTGACTAACTAGAACCACCCCTGGAGTTTAAATATTCCTCAGAGAATGTCAGTGAACCCCTTGAATAAGATGGGGTTCTCTTAGGAATGTAGGAAGGGAGAAGCCAGAAGGTGGACTATATTAGCTTTTAACTGGGTATCTCATCCATGCTTTGCTATTTTAATAGAATTCCAGGGATGTTTGGTTAGGTGTGAAAATCCATCTTTAACAGGTTCCCAAACTACCTTCATGACCAGGAAGCCTCTGTTTGGGGAAGTGGCAGCCTCAATTTCAAGACTTGGCTCAAAATTTAAGACTGATTAAAAGTTAGATTGAGTAAAATGTGACATGTATAACTTATTCTATCAAATATTCCATTCTTTACCTTGATGTACACGTGGACATTTAATTTTTTTTATAAAAAGATTCTATATTTGTATGTTTGTTATATGTGTGTGTATTTAACTTGAGCTAATTTTAACTGGGGGATTATATTATCTTTACCTGTTTTATGCATGTTAAACTATATATCCTTCAAATTGTGTTTTGGATGATTTTGTGCATGTGATTTGTGAATTTTTGTTTTTATTTGCCCCGATACGGCTTAAAGAAAAAGTATCTCAAATTGTGTCACAGAAAGCTATGTTTGTGATTTTTACGTTTTAAAATTATGTTTTGGACTCTTTTCCAGTAACTTCAAGACTTTAAAAATTCCATCTTCCCTTTGGCCTCAGATCCCACTTTGGATCTTTGGGCCAAATATGAGATTAAACTATCAATACTTCAGTGATTTAATTTTGCATGAGTGGCTCATTAGAATATAAGGAGGTAAAAAATTAGCAAATGGATGATATTTCTTAGTGTTTGGTTGAAATCAGTGTTCTAGTATATTTAAAATGAAAATGGTGACAATGTAGTTTTGGAGTTAAGAATAAAACAGCAAACAGAAAATAGATGCTTTTTCAGTTACTATTTATTCACATTCAAAGGAACACTCTGCTAATATAAATATAATTTAAATTTGTTGCCCCAAAGCCAGCTTGATAGTGCTACCGAGGGAAGTTTAGCTGGGGCTCACTTAATGAGGTTAATGAGGTTAATGACTTAATGTTCAGGATGGAAATTGCATTCCTCATATCTATTGAGAAGAAAAATACCAAACATTTATAAACAACATTGTCTGCAATAAGTTCATCAAAAATTTTCTGTGACTTTTTATATGAATATGACTAATAAAAACGTTCACACTCTCCCCCCCCCAAAAAAAACCCCCAATCATTTATTTCCAGCCTGCTCCATATAGACTAAAATTGATTCAGAAGATGACAGGGACATTTGAGACGTGCTGATGGGACAATTCTTAATACTGTGTTGGTGCAGCTCCCTCTCTATTAATTCAGAAACCAAAATGTTGGCAATTCAGACCTTTTCAAAAAAGTTCATATGGGCACCCAAGTCCACATCAATGCTGACTCCATAGCCCTTCCTGAGTGGCTGCCTCGTACCCAAATAAGATTCATCAGCCCTGGAATGAGTGTTGCTGATTTGAGGTGTGGTTCATGTTTAGGCTTTGCCACCTTCCTGCCAGTTGACTTTTGACTAGTCAGATGACCTTCTTCAGCTATAAAACTGGTGATTAGATTCCATATCCAAAGGCCCTTCCAGGTCTATAAATGTAGGACTCTTAGAGGATCGATTCCCTTTCGTATTTATATTAAAGACTTCATTTAAAAAAGGGATATATTCTTACCTACCAAGGAAAACCTGGTTTAGAATTTGTCTGCCAAGCCAGTGATGGAAAGATCTGGGTTGCATTACATTTGAGCATCATGCAATCCCAGCACTACAATGGCTTTCACCCAAGAGCTGGGTCATGTTCCTCCGCAGCCAGGCTGTCAGGGGCTTGGAATTGTTGTGATTTGTCTCACTTCGTGGTTCTGGGTCATACTGTGGCCTCATGTTTGTTGGTAGCCTGGTGACAACTTCATGGTTCCTTCCCTTTCCTGTTTCTCCAATTTAAGATTATGGGACTGCAGCAAATGACATTGGGGACACCACGAACAGAAGTAACGAAATCCCTTCCACAGATGTTGCTGACAAAAGCGGTCGGGAACATCTCTCGGTGAGTGAGATAAATAGTTGTTTCCTAGGTCGGCTCTGAGCGCTGTGGATGCTTAAATGTTGGGGGGAGCAGAACTGCTTCGGTGCATGTCTTTCAACATGACATTTTTACTGTTCAGGTGTGAATAGGGTGTTGACGTTTGGAAGACTTCACAGAAAGGTTCGAGGGAAGTGATAAATGTGCTGTGTAGCCTCTGACTTACTTGCTTCCCCTTTTATGTGTCCCTTTAATTGCTAGTGGTTCTTATTTTAAATGTCTGTCCTTTAAAAGAAGAGCAGTGTCTCATTTGGGCATTATTCCCGTCTTCGGCATCTTCACGCCTGTCTTGTTCCGGATTTTAATAAGAGTCTCATTGCCCACTAAATTTAAGGAATCCCGTAGGTTCTGGGAGGGACGGGCAGTGGGAAGATAGAAAAATATGAAGGAAGAGCAGGTCTGTCCTTCAGGAGTTTATACTTTGGTCAGAGCCCTGAGCGGTGACCGGATACCAGCACCTGTGATACAGACAGAGAAGCAGGGGGATGTGAGAGCTGGACCTAGAGGGGCAGGTGCTCCACTCCTTCCTGCTGGGAGCTCCAGAGGGGTCTTGCTGGGGCCGGGGGCATTTTCCAGCTGTGCGGGATGGCTGGATTTAGACGGACAGGAAACCAAGGGAAGGGCATTTTGGGTGTGTGCACAAGAGCCCGCGGACCGGAAAACGGTTTTGATGGGAAGATAAGGTGTGTGTTGGGGTGGGGGGGTCGTCAGAGGCACGATCGGAGAGGTGGTTGTGCCAGGTCATGGGGTTTTGAAACACAGTGCCAGGCGTTAGATTTATCACGCAGGGAGGAGCCACTGAAGGGGGCGGGCTTGAGTCCCAGGACTGTGGCAGGGTTGGTCTGTCAGCTGCTCAGCTCAAAGGCCAGCAGCATCCCTCATTCTTCTTGTCACTGTCACGTGCACCCAGTCCCCTGTGCTGTGAGCTCTGCCACCTGATAAACCCCAAACCCATCCACATCCCCCCACCCCAGCTGCCATGGCCGCAGGCTCACCTGAGGGTTGGGAAACTACGGCCTGCTGGCCAAGTCCGGCTCACCCCCTGTTTCTGTGCCATCTGCGGGCTAAGAAGAGTTTTTACCTTTTTAAGTGGTTTGGAAAAAAAAAAATGAAAAGGAGAATGATATATTTTGTGACGTGTGCAACTCTTATGAAATTCAAATGTCAGGGTCCGTAAAAAATAAAATTTTATCGGAACGCGGTCATGCCTATTGACATATCGACTGTGGCCACTTTTGTGCTACAGACGTGGCTGGAGTAGCTGCAGCAAAGTCTGTATGGCCTGCAGAGCTGGAAGTGTTTAGTATCTGGCCCTTCACAGAGGGAGTTTACCACGGTTGCTCGTTCCCGGATGACCTCTGCAGCCTCTACCTGTCCCTCCTCTCCCACCCTGTGATTCCCGACCTTTCTCCATACAGCAGCCTGAGTGACCTCTGAAAAGCACAAATCAGATCATTTTTATTGTCATTCTCAGAGTCTTCCCAGTGCGAGTGTAAGAGAACTTTTATTACAAAAGCCCAGCTCCTCATGGTGGCAAAAAGGCCCCGCATATCTTGCCCTCGTCTGTGTCTCTGCCTTCACCCCGCACCCTGCCCTCACATGTGCCACCTGTCCTTCTTCATGTTCTCTCACATGCTTCGGGCTTACTCTTGTCTCACAGCCTTTATGTTTGCTGTTCCCTTTACAAGGCATGCACTTCCCAATGGTCATCACATGGCTTTAGCCACCAGGCAGCCACGATCATGTTCTGTTTTCTTCTGAGCAGTTATTCTTGTCTGTAATTCCCTTGCTTCTTTATTGTTTACTTGTGTAATGTCTTTTTTTTTTTTTTTTGGTAATGTCTTTTTTCCTTCCCTAGATTCTTTTTAGAGAGAGAGAGAGAACACGTGCACATGGGGTGCACGGAGGTGGTGGGGAGGGGCAGAGGGAGAGGGAGGGAGAGAATCTCAAGCAGGCTCCACGCTCAGCACGGAGCCCGATGTGGGGCTTGATCTCATGACCCGGAGATCATGACCTGAACCAAAATTAAGAGTTGGACGCCTAACCAACTGAGACACCCAGACCCCCCTCCTTCTCTAGATTCTTTAGTGAATTTCCAAGTCTAGGCAACCTGGTCAGTGTTTTTCAGAGCTGTATCCCTCATCCCTCAAATAGTGTCTGGCACCTAGGAGGTAATAAAAATTGGAGGCTGATTAGAGTAATGGTGAGTGCTCTAGAATGGGTTGCAGGACAGAGAGATTGGAAGCAGTGTGATTAGTTAGGGAGATGTGATTTATATTTAAACCAGGGCCCTGGCGGTGGGAATGGGAGGATCGTAACAGATGTAGCTCAGCTGCAACTCAAAATACGCGTATCCAGTACATGGAGACACACACACACATATTTCCATAGATGATGGGATGCATTGCATTGAAATAGCAGGGACAAATGCCGTGGTAAATCAGCTGCAGAATGTTTTCTACTTCCTGCCTTGTGCAATCTTTTTGGTTTATTCTCATACCAAACCACTTAGTGCTTTTTGGTTTGAGAAAGTTGTTTGTGTATATAAGGAATCCAAGGAGCATGTGTTAAGCCCACAGGTGTGTACATATCCCAGTTACTAAAAATTACATGCCAACTTCACTTTTCTCTTTTGAGACCAAATCATAAATTTAAGTCCCTAAGTGGCACATCTCAGTGATATTTGGACTCTTTACAGTAGGGCCACTGGAAGGCAAGATCACTGAAAATACTCTTTGTTGAAAGTTGGTACATTACAATTCCACCTGAGGTCCCTGGAAATCTGCATGACAGGTGCAAGGTGTAATGCTTTGTACAATTTAAAGAAAGTGTAAAACTTAAGTCTGGATCAGATATTTAATTCATGAACAGTTCCTGATCACAAGGAGGATTGTTAGATTAGAAGAGTTTCAGAGTCAGGGAGCTGATAGAAGAGTTAAAGGTGTTATCAGAGCATTTGGAAGACAGCCTCAAATGCTCTCCTTTCTGGTCCAATAAGTGCTCTTCATGAACCTTGCTGGATTTTTTGAGTAGAGCAGGCCCTTGTTCATGCTGAGAGAGATCCTCAGATTAAAAACAACTAACCAACCAATCAACCAACCAGCCACATAATTAACCAAACAACCAACCAGCCAACTAACCAACCAGCCAATCAACTAACCAGATAACCAGCCAACTAACCAAACAAGCAAACAGCAAACTAACCTACCAACCAACCAACCAACTAACCAAACAACCAAACAACTAAGCAGCCGGCCAGCCGGCCAACCAAACCAACCAACCAAGCAAAGAAATGAACAAATACATTCACCCCTGCTTGTCTCCCACATAAAGACCACCCCCACCCAACACATGCACGGTACATGGAACTATATTTATCAAACAATTCATTTTTGAGGAAACAATTCTTCTCATTGTCTTGGGATTCTTTGTTTATTAAAGGATTCTTTGCATATAGAGCTGCTTCAACAGGTTTAAATATTTGCTTGCAGATCATTAGCTGCTCCCCAGCAGTAGAACCCCTTCCCATTTTCCAGGTTGACTTAAACACTATAATGAAATAGAGAAGTCAGGGCAGGTATTATTATCTCCGTGTACAAGTGAGGGAATGGAAGCTTGCAGAAGTGAAGCATCTGTTAACTCTCACAGCTCATAAAGGCAAGGTGTCCTGGAAACATAAGGACCAAGTCTTCTGAATGCCAGTCAGGTACTTTCTGAAGTGGGTCAGAGGCTGTCTCTGGTCCTACAGAGAAGTTGTGGGGCTAAGGGCAAGTCCCTTAACATCTCTTCATCCCCGTTTCCTTATCTATGAAATAGGGATTGGAACTTGTTTATTCAATTTTTCTCCTTCTATTAGTACAAGTCTGGAATTTAATAGTAAGATTGAGAAACTGAGAGCTAAGATACTACGATCTCTTTTCCATGCAAATGTTAGTTAGAAATAAAGATGGAAAAAAAAGAAAAAAAACCACCGCAAATCATTAGGTACGTTTGAGGGAAACGGCGTTAGTTACAAGTTGATCTATAATTAACCTTTTAGGAATCACAAGCACTCTGTTTGTATATAGGCCACAGAGACAGAGTGAAGTCTGCACTCAAACATTGGCAGAGGTGTTCTCTGGGAGAGCCACTCACAACTCATGACCACAGGGCCGGAGGAGAGGATTCTCACAGCTTGGCTCCACTCTGGCCAAGTGTGTGGCATGTGCCCTTTCCTGGGTTTCGTGCCTTCTTTAATGCTGTCCTGTCCCCAGTGGACGCCAGAGAGGATGTCACAGGAGGATTAGCCATGCATTTTTATTATCCTGTCTTCCCTCTCAGCCATGTGTTTTGAAAGAGTACTATAAAGGCTGAACCGTGGATAGGTCGCAGGTTTTGTACTTAGACTTCAGTTCAAATCCCAAGCTTGAAAGGTGTGATCTTGGGTTGCTTATTTAACTTCTTATAAATCTCTGTTTTACTATCCTCATAGCCAACATTAATTTATTATCTATTGTAGAAGACTCTGTTCCAAACCCATTATCTGCATTAACTCACTGAGGATTTAAATAATCTGCAAGGTAGAATGATTATATTCCCTGTTTCACACATGAGGTGTGTGGGATGCTGACAGATTGAGTAATTCTGAGGTCAGGCACCCAGTAAGTGGTAAATCCAAATTTCAAACTCATGAGGAACTCATGTTCTTATAATGAGAGGCTCTACTGCCTCTCATTCCGAGATGGGTACATTAGTCAGCATAAACTATGCTGCAGTAACAAAAATCCCCAAATCTTAGCAGCTTAAAACGACAAAGGTTTACTTCCTGCCTCATTATTTGTGTCGACCGGCAGTTCGGTCAGCCTTGTCCTCATTCTAAGACTAGATTGATAGGCAGCCACTTTTGGAAAGTTAGCATTTAGTAAGGCCCAGAGAAAGAAGTATGAGAGCAGGGTTCTCAGCCTTGGAACTCTTGACAGCATTATTATGGACGAATAACTTTTTGTTGTGGGGGGTTGTTAAGTGTTGTAGGATGTTTAGCAGCATCCCTGGCCTTGACCCATTAGTTGCTAGTAGCATCCTCCTCCAGTTGTGAAAACCCCCAATTGACAGCTGTCCCCTAGGTATAACATCATCCCTGGGTGTGAATAACTGCCTCAGTCTAAGATCTCAGGGTAGCAGTGAAATGCTCCGTTGTCAGGGACACGAGTCTCGCCTCATTGGCCAGAACTGGTCACATGCACCCATCTTACCACAAGGAAGCCAGGAAGTGAATCTTATAAAGAGAAACACAGGATGAAATAGAAATGTTTGGTAAACAACATTAATGATTATCACAGATGGGAATAATAATATATGTCTTAAGGATTATTATGCAGATTAAATGAAACAAAAAGAAGCTTAAGCATCTAAGTAAGTGTGGACATCTAAAACAGTTTAGAATAGGAGTCTGCAAACTATATCCATCTGTTTTTGTCAATAAAGTTTTATTGGCACCCAGTCATGCCCATTGGCTTACCTACTGTCTATGGCTGCTTTCACTCTACACCAGCAGAGTTGAGAGTTTGTGAAAGAGACTGTATGGCCCCCAAAGCCTAAATAAAGTATGTACTGTCTAACCCTTTAGAGCAAAAGTTGCTGCCTCCTGGCTTAGAGAGTCACACTTTTCTTGGGAGCAGGACCTTGGAGTGAGCAGCAGGAATGGAAGGAGATGCATTGTTCTGCTTCCATCTTTGTTTCTGAAATGTTAATATGTACTTCATTAGCATTACACTCTTAGGCCTCTGTGATCTCTCTCAGGGTTGTGGCAGGATTCACACGGATCTGCATCTACTCTCTCTACTTGTGTAACCCACATGTTGCAATTACATTTTAAGTTTAAAAAAACTTTGTGTTGACCTCTGTTATACATGCACATATGTGTACCTATCATAAATCTACAACCCAATGAGCTTTCACAAGTGAACTCACCCACAGGTACCCCTCCTGCTCCCTTCCCTGCCCACTCCCAGCTCCATGGGACTCTGATTTCTAAGAGCTAACTTAAAAAAAATCTTTTTATTATGGACAGCTTTCTAACATGCCCAACGATAGAGAGCATAGCAAAATGAACCCTACTGTATCTTTCACCAGCTTCAGAAATAATCAGTATTTTATCATTCAAGTTTTGTATATTCTCTCTCCTCTCTCCAGGTAGGTAGGTAGGAGGATAGATAGATGGGGAGAGAGTAATATATCTCTGTGTTTATACAGTATCTATTACACTGATATTTTTATAAGCTTCTAACTTACGTGTTCTCATTTGTAAAGTAGGGATAATAATCGGACCTACAATACTTCATTGTAGAGTTGTTGAGTGATAAATGGGTTGGTAGACACAAAGTTCCTAGCAGAGCAAGTAGTAAATATGAACTGTCATCCTCATTATCATCATCACCTGGATGTAGGGAACTAAGGAGCAAGGTCATGACCACCCTCCCTTCTTTCCTCTAGGTCTATGCTGTGGTGGTAATTGCGTCTGTGGTGGGATTTTGTCTGCTGGTGATGCTGTTTCTGTTGAAGTTGGCAAGACACTCCAAGTTTGGCATGAAAGGTAAGAAGGGTTCTGTTTATTTTACTTCTTATGTGGAATCATTTTTGGCTTCTGACTAATGCTAATTACCACTAAAGAAAGAAGCAGCTAGATTTACAATGACTAGGTTTTAAGGCTGAAAAAATAGCAACAAGGATATGATACTACAAATCAAGGCAGAGCAAAATAATGTTGATTACTCAGCAGTGCCCACTTTCCAAGGAGGACGGTTGTCCCAGAAGACACTGAACTTGAACTGGTTTCCTGAGTCTCAAGTAACTAATAACGATATAGGCAAAGAGTGCCTGGGTTTCCCTTCGGCTTCAGAAAGGCAGGCGAGGTATGATGGCAGTAGGTTAGTTAGGGACACAAGTGATTTGTGCAGAAGGGTCCTTTCTGCTGTGCAGGTGATTTCCGGACCCTTCCGTGGAAGCTTTTGTTGTTGCTACTGCTTTACAGTAAAGTTCTCATCTTCTGAGATTTGAACTGTGTTGGGGAAGCGAAATCAGAACACCGGCTGTACGTTGAAGCTTTGTGAATGAGCGTGTGTGTGTGTGTGCACGCGCACGTGCGTGCGTTAATGGAAAGATGCTCAGTGCTAGATTAAAAATTGTAAAATTGTTGGCCATGTTGCCCAAGAATAGACCAGGGGTCTCTCTCAGAGGACTGAAAATTCATTGTAGGGGGGAAAACTTATTTAAATGTTCTTGTTATATAAGTAGCCAAGATTTTCAGCGATTGAAAAGCATTTGCTCTGAAGTTTAAACGTTACGTATTGACTAAGATGCTATTGTTGAATTTTGTGTGGTCTCTTATAAATAGCCACTAGCTTGGGAAAGCCGCGAAGAAGGTTTAGTGGTGGCTTCGTTGTGTTAAAGACAACGTGGTGGGTTTTCTTGATCTGTCTGGTTCATTACAACCACTATTTACGTTGCCTACTCACTTGGAAGTGATGTTTATGGAGCGATAAGCTGTCCAGCGTACCCTGGGCTCTGGGATGGAGTGGATCTATTTCTGACGTTTTCTCCTCTCCCTCTGTGGGTGCCCATGATCAAAATCCCTAAACCTGAAGTGAACAGGGAGGAGTAGTGGTAAATTAGGCCTTGAATAGCCCCCAGATCTGCTCCTGACTTTCTCTGGACCTGCCGATTCTTGACATTTCTTTTGGAGGAGGAGAGATCTCTCATTCTCCAATTATAAATAAGGCCTGGGGGAGGGACAGTGATTTTAATTAGTCCTACTACGATGCTGGTTTACAAACGTGACTTCGCATCAGCAGCTCCTGGAGGGCTTGTGAAAACACAGATTTCTGGGCCACCCCAAGAGTTTCTGATTTAACAGGTCTGAGGTGGGCCTGATACTTGGCATTTCTAACAGTTTCCAAGGATGACAATACTACCGTGGCCCAAGCATTCCTGGAGAATCACCGTTCTATGGGATCAACATGGGCTAGCACCTTCTGAGTGACAAGATGGGGGAGGGGCATTGCTTTGCAGACCTTTCTGGGCCTAGGTCTGGGCGAGGCTACTGCTTTCTGCATGTCAGCCACCCACCATGGCATTTTGTTTTCCTCATTTTGATCAAGTACTTTGTTTCCTTAGAGGCACTTGGAGTGGATGTCCCCAAGCAGGGATTTTACTAGAGAGAGCCAGATACTAGCATCATTACTTTCCCTTCTGGAGGGTTTAGTTTGAGACCTTTCATCTCATGGGTTCTTCAGAGAGAGAATCTGTCTAGGTTCTACTGGGAGCTGCACAAAAGCTTTGGGAACCCTAGCAGTGATATTTAGGAGCTGTTCTCACCCCAGCTTTGTGTTAGGAAAACAACCTCTGGAATGGTCTGTAAGCGTTGACATAGTCTGTGCGGCGCAGGGAGGGAGAGACTAAAAGGTAGACATTTGTTTCAGAGAAGATTGTATTTCCTATAGAGACTCCCACATGAAGACTGAAACAGATTTTTATTTGGATTATTTGGGATGATTACCGCTAAAGCACCTACACTTCCCGAACGTTTATAACCTAAGGGGATCCTTAATGAATTGTAAGGAAGATTTTGCTAAACCTTGTCCCAGAGCCAGTAAATGACTTCCTTCAGGCAGTCGCTACTATATCCTATGCTTTCACTCCCTAATTTCCAAACATAAAGTTGTTTTTGAAAAAATCATCTCGGAGACTCACGGTCTTGTTTAGAATAACTTCTTTTTCTATTTTTGCTGCACATCTGTCCATGCCATGGTTTAAACACATCGGGCTTGGGGCACCTGGGTGGCTCAGTCGTTAAGCGTCTGCCTTCGGCTCAGGTCATGATCCCAGGGTCCTGGGATCGAGCCCCGCATTGGGCTCCCTGCT